TCGTGCCACTCACGTGGCGCCTGGCGGAGACCGTAGACCGGCCACCGGAGGCTCCACTGGGTACCAGGAGGGAACGACCCAGTGAAGCCAGGAGGGCGGCGCAGCCAGATCTCCTCGTGCACACTGCCCTGCAAGAAAGCTGTGCTAAAGTCAAGAGAGTGAAGCTCGTAGCCACGCTGAGCAGCAACGTGCAGTAGCACCCGAAGAGTGGTCATCTTCGGGGTGGGGGAGAAGGTCTGAAAGAAGTCTACTCCCTCTCGCTGACTGAAGCCTTCGAGTGACGTAACGAGCCTTGAAGACAGGCGGAGAACCCGACGGCCGCTTCACCCTGAAAATCCACATGCCATTGACGATGTTCGCCCCAGGAGGGGGAACCTCGTCGACGTAAGTTCCTGTGGACTTCCAGGATGCCATCTCTACATCCATAGCTATCTGCCACTGAGAGGAGTACTCACCCGCGATCGCCTCAGCGTAAGAGCGCAGGGTCGGGATGTCTGGAGCATCCAGGTCTCCCTCAGGGGCAATCAGCATGGACACGAGATGAGGCGCAGCGGCTGCAAGACACTCAAGGTCCCCCTGTGTGTCCTCAAGAACGTCCATGCCTAGAGCACACTCACCCCTGACGGACGGAGGACAGATAGACTCAGACTCAGCAACAAGTGTCGCAGCGTAGTCTAGGCAACAGCGAGCAGCAAAGTCGACAAGCTCAGCAACCAAGGCAGACGCAGCAGTGGACTCAAAGGAAGGGTCAGTGACAGTAGTGGCCAGGAGACGCGTGATAGTAGGACTGGCAGCACGTAGAGAGTCAGACTCTTGGTCAGCAAGCACAGGAAGAGAGGACGCAGGAGGAGACGGCAGAGGGACACGCTGTGGAGCAGTGGAAGGACGCAGTGACATCTCGAGTGTGCCAGGGAGAGGCAGAGGACGCTCACGCGGTACTCGGCGACTAGTGCAAGCAGCACGAACAGGTGACACAGGACGAGACACGGGCGACACAAGACGAGACTCAAGCTCTCGACGCTCCCTAAGACCGCCTGTCGGACCAGTGTAGGGAGAAGGACCAGGAAGCGGCGAGGCAGGCGGTAGCTGTGACTGCGACTGGACAGGCGGAGGACACTCTAAGGAGGGAGGAGGACTAGGAGGAGGCGGCTGACCAAGAACCTGCTGAAGGAGCGGAACGAAGTACGGCCGCGGCCGTGAAGTGCCCCCAGAAGGAGCAGAGACAGCACCAAAACTTCAAGCAGCTCCAGCAGCACCTCCAGCAGCTCCAAAACCTCCAGCAGCACCAGCAGCACCTCCAGCAGCTCCAGAACCTCCAACAGCACCAGTAGCACCTCCAGCAGCTCCAGCACCTCTAGCAGCACCAGCAGCACCAGTAGCACCTCCAGCAGCTCAAGGACCTCCAACAGTACCTGTAGCACCTCCACCAGCTCCAGCACCTCCAGCAGCACCAGCACCAGCAGCACCACCAGCAGCTCCAGAACCTCCAGCAGCAGTAGGGCCTCCAGCGGGCGGTACCTCAACACCAGAAGCTCCACTGCGTAGGCTGCAGCGCCGAGCGTACCACTCACGCAGCCGCTGAGGGGAGGGAGGCTCGAGCTGCGACACTGCACCCGCAGGGCCACCAGCCCCAACTCCAGATGACCCCCCAGCTCCAGGAGCCCCACGTCGGAGGCTGTAGCGCTTGGAGTACCACTTACGCAGCTGCTGCGAAGAGGGAGCGCCAAAAGGCGCAGAACGGTCAGTCTCAGAACACCCTGCCTCAGCGCCTCTAGGCTCGACACCCCCAGTCGCAGCACCTCTAGGCTCAGCACCCGTAGTCTCCGCACCTCCAGGCTCAGCACCCACAGTCTCCGCACCCCCAGACTCAGCACCCCCAGCACCCCCAGGCTCAGCACCCCCAGTCTCAGTGCCCCCACACCCAGCAACATGAGGCTCAGCACACTCAGCACCTCGCGCAGGACCAGAGTCAACAGCTACCTCGACAGGCTCAACCTGGTCTACCTGGGAAACACCTGAGGGAGCAGCACCCTGGGGAGGGAGGGGGTCTACCGACGGGACAGCTGGGGTGAGGAAGAGCGGTGGGGGGGGGAGCGGGGCAGTACGGTAGGGGAAGAGACGGTAAAAAGGTACCGACTCGTCAAAGGTGACGTCCTGAGAGGCAAAGACACGGCGCCAGGTGGGGTGGTAAAACTGCCAGCCAGGCGCGTTAGGGACAAAGCCAAGGAAGACACAGGGAGCGGCACGGGAGGAGAGCTTGTCCGCGGACGTATCGCTGACAAAGGCTCGACATCCTCAGACTCGGAACACCGACGCATCGCCAGCCTCCCCCGTCCAACGCAGGGTAGGCGAGGTCTCTGGAACAAAGACACGGGGCCAGAGGTTGAGCTGATGCGCGGTGTACTGCTCTGCAAACAGCCTCTGGAAATGGGGGGCAGCCGCATGGATCATGGAGGTACGAGCGGCTTCCATGAAAAGACCAATGCGGTGCTTAGTAACCCTATTCTGGTGCGGAGAGGCCGGGAGAGTGAACGTCTGGCAGATGCCGTGCTCCGCACAGTAGGCTGCCAAGAGGTCAGAGGAAAACTCGCCACCTCTGTTAGAGTGCAGACGTAGGATAGGAAAGTCCGACTGGAACCGCTCGCGGAGCTGGAGACGAGCAGCGCGGATATAGGGGATCAAGACATCAGGGACCTCACCCTTGGTATGCAAGGGGAAGACCGTGGTGTAGCGCGTGTAGTCTTCGACGACCAGCAGAAAGTACCGCTCGTGGCCCTGTCCCCGGACGCGGGCGGGGCCCCACACGTCTAGGTGGAGAGTCTGCAGGAGAGCCTCTATGGGAGGGAACGAGGAACAGTGAGGAGCGGCGCGCTGCCGCCCCTCGACACAGGGAAGACAGGGAGGAGAAGGCGAGGGTGGCAGGGGAGGGAGAACCCTGGGAAGACCAGAGACAAGGTACCTGGAGTGCATGCCGCGAAGGCGCTGCACTGACGGGTGACCAAGGCGGTGGTGCCAGAGGACATTCCTGTGTGACAGGGAGCAACACGAGCAGGGGGCCGATAGCTGACCTGACGCAGACGCAGACGCAGCTACTTGAGGGGACTTAGTGGTCAGTGTGTACAAGTCCGACCCCGGCTGCCGAGTGAAGGTAGCCAGGTGACGACCCGTCCGGGCGCACGTGAAGTGCGTCACACGCTCGTAGGCCGAGGTGAACTGGTGAGCACCCGCGTCCAGGAGCGTGGAACCCGCCACCAAGTTTGTAGAGAACGAGGGAGGTAGAGGCCCGACAGCGTGCCAGACGGGACAGCAGGACAAGCGAGGGCAGTGGTGGAGGTCGCAAGGACCGGACCCCCAGAGGGGTCAGCCCGGGAGACTGCAACCGGTCTAGGGAGCTGCTCCAGGGCAGTGTGGTTGCGGAAGAAACACCGGGAAGCACCTGAGTCCAGTGTGAAGGTGTGCAGTGCCTCAGTAGGTGCGGTGCCAGCAGACGTAGACGCACTAGCACCTAGGGCTGCAGCCTCACCAGGACAGGGTTCTCGTTATCAGACCAATTTGGTCTGATGGTCTGCGTTTAAGACTGGTTTTTTTGTATTCATCTTAATCCTAAGATTTTGTGTTTGTTCTCATCTGATCAGCAAGATTTGACTTTTAAGTTCGTATGATTTTTTCAGACGTGTATAATTTTTTATCTGAGGATACAGATAGCGAGTTCGGTTTCGTCTGAAACCGACAACTTGACCCACTAGGCCATACGCCCAGTTGACCAGAGGACAGGACCACCACAGGTACAGCCGATTGCTGCCTTGTAACTGCACGCGCATTCATTACGCGTGTCTTATACAGCTCTGTAACTGCCTTGTGCAGCCTCGCTGTAGGCTGACTTGGTTTTTTTTTTCGTCTAGTTTATCAGACTAGGAAAAATATTTCAGCTTATACTGCAGACCACAAAAATTTCGTCGTCAAAGCCTAAGACGGGGAAAATGTTTTTGAGGGTACTGTCAAACAGGCCCTAAACCTAGCGAGAACCCTGCATCAGGACCTAGAGCAGCAGTAGCAGTAGCAACAGTAGTAGCAGTAGGAGCAGAAAGAGCAGATGCAGCAGGTAGGGCGGCGCGGCTCGGTCAGGGTGGCGCGACTCTGGCGACGCGGCTCGGGCAGGTAAGGCGTCTCAGAATCTTAAACAAAGGTAGGCTTGGAAGCCATGGTTTAGGTGCCTAGGTAATCGAGTTTTTTAGGGTGAGGAGAGAAGTGTTGAGAGATTTTTGAAAGAGAAGTGGTTTCACTAAGAAGAGTTGGGATACAAGTACAATGCCCTAAATTGGGTTGTACTCATTACAGAGTACCCCACTACAGGCTAGACAGCAAATATATTCTGACACACCCCATAGCCAAAGTGGGGTGTAATTAGCAGAGCAGGCAAAGCAGTACAAGCTCAGGGTGGATCACAATGTCACCACACATTCTGAGCACAAGTTCAAGAAGCAATAGTTAAAGTGCACAATTATCAGCAAAGCTAGTGGTAGTCACAACGGGCAAGTGAGGAGGAGGAGGGAGAGTGAGAGGAGAGGAGATAGAAGGCGGCGGCTGAAGCTGCAGACACACGGGCAACAGGAGTGGCGAGCATAGTGGCTACCGGACTAAGCGCTCGGACTACTGGAGTAACAGGCCCCGCGGCTCAAGTAGCGGCAGACGGGCAACGGACCCTCGGGCGACTGGCGCAGCAACAAACTCACTGGGCTACCGGACTAAGCGCCCGGACTACAGGTGCTGCGGACAACAGACTGGCAACCTCCGCTCATCCTCCCGCACACAGTCCCACCCCCCGACACACACCCGCTGCTATACCGCTAGCTCCACCCACCCCCCTTAAACCCTAAACCCCAGTCTCCCACACATCCACCCCCCTCAGCGAGAGCTGTAGCAGTGGGAGACGAAGGAGGAGGAGGAGGAGGAGGGGACGGCACGCACAATCGACACCCCCACAACCAGCACCCCAACACTCACCCCCCACGGCTGCACCTGGTCCATGAGCGGCTGCTGCAGGGGCCAGGGGCGGCTGCTGCTGGTGCGGCTGCTCCAGTGGCTGCCGCTGCTGGGGCTGCTGCTGGGGCGGCTGCTGCTGCTGCTGCTCCACGTGCTGCTGCTGGTGGGGTGGCTGCTGCAGTAGCAGCGGCTCCAGGGGCTGCTGCTGTTGGGGTGGCCGCTTCAGAGGCAGCTGCTGCTGGGGCGGCTGCTCCAGTGGCTGCTGCTGGGGCGGCTGCTCCCGGGGCTGCTGCTGCTGGGGCGGCTGCTCCCGGGGCTGCTGCTGCTGGGGCGGCTCCAGGGGCTGCTGCTGCTAGGGCGGCTGCTCCCGGGGCTGCTGCTGTTGGGGCGGCTGCTCCACAAGCTGCTGCTGCTGGGGTGGCCGCTCCAGAGGCAGCAGCTGCTGGGGCGGCTGCTCCCGGGGCTGCTGCTACTGGGGCGGCCCCAGGGGCTGCTGCTGGGGCGGCGGCTCCTAGAGCTGCTGCTGCTGCGGTGGCCGTTTCAGGGGCTGCAGCTGCTGGGGCTGCTGCAGCGGAAAGTAGGTCGAAGGGGAGGGGAAGGGCGTGGCCCCCATTGTGCCGTGAAGGGTGACGTGCTAGGGAGCCGCGCGCAGGCCCCTAAGGCGCCGCGACGAGGCAACGGGAGGGGCCGGCTCGCGAGCCCCGAAAGTGCCGCGACGAGGCGACGGGAGGGACCTGCGTGCGGGCCCCCAAAACGCCGCGACGAGGCGACGGTCGGGGCCAGCGCGCGGGCTCCCAAGACGCCGCGACGAGGTAGGTACCCGCCGCGCGCTTCGGGGCGCACGGCGGGCAGAAAACCGCCACGCGCCCCGAGCGCATGGCGGGAAGAAAAAAAGGTGGTCGTGCGCCACGGGGCGCACGACACACAATAGGGCAGCGGAATCGAGTGGGCCCACAGGCAAGGAGCGTTAAGCTCTAATACCATCTCAGAATCTTAAACAAAGGTAGGCTTAGAAGCCATGGTTTAGGTGCCTAGGTAATCGAGTTTTTTAGGGTGAGGAGAGAAGTGTCGAGAGATTTTTGAAAGAGAAGTGGTTTCACTAGGAAGAGTTGGGATACAAGTACAATGCCCTAAATTGGGTTGTACTCATTACAGAGTACCCCACTGCAGGCTAGACAGCAAATATATTCTGACAAGGCGGCGCGACGGCGGGCCTAGGCTCGGTGCGCGGCGGCGCCTAGGGTGCAGCTGCGCGCGGACCGCGGCTGCGCTCTAGCGACAGCTAAGCGCGAGCTGCAGCAGCTGGCGCACGATCGCCGCGGCGCGCTGGGTGCGACCTGCGGGTGGGCGGCTGTGGGTCGCGCGTTGGCCTAGGGGCGAGCGGGGCCTACGGGCGACGGCCTGCTGGGGCTCGTGAGAAAAAATCGGGCCGCCCTAGGCGGCGGTTTTCCTACGCGGGCTAAAACGGCGGGGCCGCGCTCGGGCTGCTAGCGAGCTGCACACGGGCAGCGTCAGAGGAGAGCGCACGAGGGCGCACTAGGGGAGAGGCGCACGAGGGCGCTAAAAAAAAAAGGGGGCGCACGAGGGCACCTCTAGCGGAACGGTAGGCCCTTAGGTCTAAAACCTAAGCTCTTAATACCATGTCAGAAACAAGAAGTGATTGAACTATGAAACATTGGAGTACAAGTATGAAACCCTAGAGTTGTGCACCCCCTAAAGGCTAACCCACTATAGCCTACATAGCAATAACACATATATAATGTTTGACATGAAGCAGGACATCGCTCAGGAAATCCAGCTTCGCGGCGTCACCGACTTTCAAGAAATTTTCGCCCTGGCGGAGAAACTCGACTTCTTCCGCCGACCGAGACCGGGGTCCTACGGAAGCAGCAATTGGGGACATCGGTCTCGTGGGACGAACGAGGGCGCTACGATACGTGCCGTCGCCGCAAATGCCGCTGCCGCACCGTTCAAAGGGCGCTGCTTTGCGTGCAATCAGCCGGGACATCGCAAGAGCGAATGCCCGGAAAACGCTAAGGGAAAGGGGGAAGCTGAGCAGCAGAAACAGACCAAGCAGCAAGGAAACGCTGGGAGTCAGTAGCAGACGGGCCCTCTACTGACAGGTCACGCCGCTCGCCCGACCCAACCGACCCTCACCGAGTGATTGTGCCGGTTCACGCAATCGACCACACTCGGCCGAATAAGGAGGGTACCGCGGTAGACAACCCTTATACTGCTTAGTGGGAAAATCGGGATTGTCTTAATTAAAATCTTCGTAGACGGGGGAGCCAGCCACAGCCTCATCAAGACTGCCACAACACAGAAGTTGAAACTGCCACTGGACAAATGCTTACCTGAGATCGATGCAAGACTGGTCGACGGCACGCCACTGGCGATACGGGAACGCGTAGACCGGGTTCGGATTCGATGCGAGGGTAACTTCACGTTTAGCCAGGAAATGCTCGCGACGACCCTCGACGGAACCGACATTTCACTTAGTCGAGATTGGTTGCGACGACACAATCCGCGGATCGACTGGACGACGGGTGACTGCACTGTGTGAGTGAACGGTAACAACATCGCCCTACCTCGCTGGGGCTCGCCTGAGTCTTCGTCGGTGCGTGTCAACGCGATCACGATGAAACACGCCGTAGCGGCAGGAGCTCTCATGTACGCGGTCGACATTCGGGAAGCGAGGCAGCAGACAAAGGAGGGGATTTAAAGAAACTGCTGGCCGACGTACCGAGTGATCTGGCAGCATAGTTGAAGTAGTACAGTGACGTCTTCTCGGACGACCTACCGACGGGACTGCCACCTGAGCGACCGCACGACCATAGGATAGAACTAGAACCGGGGGCACAGCCGACAGTACAGCAACAGTTCCGACTGACCCAACTCGAACTGGACGAACTGAGGAAGCAGCTCGATTACCTACTCGAGAAGGAGTTCATTCGCCCTATTTTGTCACCCTTCGCAGCACCGATACTGTTCACACCGAAAAAGACGGGGGATTTTGCATGTGCATAGGTTACAGAGCACTGAACAGGGTTACCATCAAATCCCGTTACCCCATCCCGCGAGCCGACGAACTGATCGACCATCTGCGCACAGCCCGGGTTTTCTCGAAATTCGACCTCCGAGGGGGTTACCACCAGATTCGTGTCAATGCGCCCAACTGCCCTAAGACCGCATTTCGCACACGCTACAGATCCTTCGAATACACCGTCATGCCCTTCGGACTGACCAACGCCCCCGCCACTTTTCAAATAACCATGAACGAAGCTTTCCGCCCGCTTTTAGATAAGTGCGTCATCGTATACCTGGACGACATACTGATTTACAGCCCTGACAAAGCACAGCACTTACAGGACATCGAAGCAGTTTTTAAGATACTGAGTGAGAACCGCCTACTGACCAAAGCGTCTAAGTATGAGTTTTTGTAGGACCACTTGGAGTATTTGGGACACATTATTTCAGCTGCAGGAGTGGAAATAGACCTGAAAAAAATCGCGACGATTTAAACCTGGCACACGCCGACCAACTTGACCGAGTTGCAGAGTTTTTTAGGGTTCATCAACTACGTGCGCCGGTTCATCCCCGACATGGCGAAGCTGACTGCCCTGCTGACAGACCTGCTAATAAAGGGGGTTGAGTACACGTGGGGGGAGAAAGAGCAAGCTGCCTTCTCGGCCCTCAAAAACATTTTGTGCTCACCGCCCGTGCTTCACATCGCAGATCCATACCGTCCGTTCGAGCTCGTCACCGACGCAAGCGATATCGCTGTGGGAGCAGTACTGTTGCAGGATTTCGGGAACGGCCTCCAGCCAATCGCGTACGAGTCCCGCAAGCTGCACCCGCCCGAACACAACTACCCGATACACGACCGCGAAATATTGGCAATCGTGCACGCGTTCAAAGTTTGGCGGTGTTACCTAACTGGCGCCGACGTGATAGTACGGACAGACCACCGATCACTACAGTACCTACGGGCCCAACCAAATCTCAATTCGCGACAGATTCGCTCGTTGGACTACCTCGAGTCCATCTTCCACTACACGGTTACGTACAAAAAAGGCGCATCCAACATCGCCGACGCACTCACTCGCCCTACCGCCCAACTCCATGCCATCCTACTCGCCCAAACCAACCCGCTTTTAACAAGACTATTCACCCACAAATACCGCACTGACCCATTTTTCACGTCCGGAAATTCACAGCAACTGGCAGAAGCTAAAGGATTTTATTACGTAAAAACGGGCACCAACCGCATCTGGGTACCCGCGTACTCACTATTGAGGGAGCTACTACTGCAGGAGGCACACGACGGAATTACCTCGGGACATTTTGGGGTAGAAAAAACGCGACAGCAATTGCAGCGGTATTACTCCTAGCCGGAGCTGTTGACCGACGTGCAGCAGCACGTGGGCTCGTGCCCCACGTGTCAGGTAATTAAGAGATCGAGGAAGCGGAAGGCGGGTCAATTGCAGCCGATACCACCGTCCGAGCGCGCCTGGCAGCAGGTTATCATAGACTTCGTCACAGGGTTACCTTCGAACCGTGGGGGTAACGACGCGGTGATGGTCATCGTTGACAGGTTGACGAAGATGGCACACTTCGCTGCGTGCAAAAAGTCGATCTCAGCCGAGGAGACCGCTCGCATGTTCATCACAGCCGTTGTTCGCCTGCACGGGATACCAGCAGCGATTATCAGCGACAGGGACACGAAGTTCACCAGCAACTTCTGGAAGAACCTCTGGGAGCAGTTCCGAACAAGGCTACAGTTCAGCTCGTCGTACAACCTCGAAACCGACGGTCAAACAGAGCAGACGAATCAGACGATGGAGCAGTTGATTCGTGCCACGTGTGACGACCCGACCACCTGGGAGCAGCAGATGCCGCTGATCGAGTTCACATACAACAACGCCACGTCAGCGACGACGCAGCAGTCCCTCTTCTACCTGAACTACGGGCAAAACCCTATAGTGCCCATGACGCCGAGTCCGGACAACCCAACACCACGAGCGCAACAATTTGCCGAAATTTTGCAAGCTGCCCGCACCAGAGCCGCCGAAGCAATTAAAAGGGCAAACATCATCGCTGAGCGCAATGCTGATCGCCACCGCCGCCCAGTCACGTACCAGTCAGGGGATTACGTGTCAGAATGCTATATAGCTTATACATTTGTGTAGGCTATAGTGGGGTATCCCATAGGGGGTACAACCCAATTAGGGTTAGTACTTGTACTCACTCATTTCATAATTGATCCATTCATCTCGTTCTCATTCTCACATGGAATCAGAGCAGGTCCCCTCCTAGGGACTGTTCCTAGGGCCCACCGAAGCGCGCCTCGAGTCGCGCTCTCCCCTTTTTCCTAGCGGCCTGTCGTGCCGCCCTTACGGTCGCGTCGAGCCGCCCTAGCGGCCCCGCCGCCCTACCTAGCGGCCCCGCCGCCCTACCTAGCGGCCCCGCTGCCCTACCTCGCGGCCTCGTCGCCCCATTGCGCGGCCCCGCCGCCCTACCTAGCGGCCCCGCCGCCCTTACTCGCGGCCCCGCCCCCCCCCCATCGCGCGGCCCCGCCGCCCCATCGCGGCCCCGCCGCCCCATCGCGCGGCCCCGCCGCCCTACCTAGCGGCCCCGCCGCTCTTCCTCGCGGCCTCGCCGCCCCATCGCGCGGCCCTGCCGCCCTACCTAGCGGCCCCGCCGCCCTTCCTCGCGGCCCCACCGCCCCATCGCGCGGCCCCGCCACTCTACCTCGCGGCCCCGCCGCCCTACCTCGCGGCCCCGCCACTCTACCACGCGGCCCCGCCGCCCTATCTCGCGGCCCCGCCGCCCTACCCAGCGGCCCCGCCGCCCTTCTGCAGCGGCCCCGCCGCTCCTCTAGTAGCGGCCCCGCCGCCCTACCCAGCTTCCCCGCCGTCCTTGTGCAGCGGCCCCGCCGCCCTATCTAACGACCCCGCCGCCCTTTCTGCAGCGGCCCCGCCGCTCCTCTGCAGCGGCCCCGCCGCCCTACTTCAGCGGCCCAGCCGAGCCGCCCAGCAGTAGAGCAGCCGAGCCGCCCAGCAGCAGAGCAGCCGAGCCGCCCCGCCGCCGAACCGCGCTGCAGCCGAGCCACCCGGCCGCCCACCGGCCGAGCCGCCGTGCAGCCGACCGCCCAGCCGCCGAGCCGCCTAGCTGCCGAGCCGCCCAGCCGCCGAGCCGCCCAGCTGCCGAGCCGCCCTGCAGCCGAGCCGCCCGAGCAGCCCTGTCCGGTGAGCACAGACCCTCTGTCACTGCGTGCCCTTCCCCTACTGCTTGCACTGCTGGTCTACTGCTGTCATGGCTACCCCTAGTGTCCTCGCTTTTGACGCTGAGGGTCGGGCCATTGACTTTGAGGTCTGGGTAGATGACCTCCAGCTGTTCTTACAATGCGATAGGGCGGACGACCTCTCTCTCTTTGACCTCACCTCTGGCGCTTCCCCTGCCCCTGCTGCTGATGCTGACGCCACTGTTCGCTCCCAGTGGGCCACGCGCGATGCTGCTGCACGTCTTGCTGTGCGTCGCCACCTCCCTACCTCCGAGCGTGCGCACTTTAGTCAGTACAAGAGTTTTCAGACCTTGTACGACGCTGTAGTCGCGCGCTACTCCTCCCCTGCCACTGCTGCACTGAGCCGTCTCATGCTGCCGTACCTCTTCCCTGACCTTGCTGCCTTTCCCACCGTTGCTGACCTCATTACGCACCTCCGCACTAGTGACACTCGCTACCGCGGTGCACTTCCTGCTGACTTCTGCACCGCGAACCCCCCCCCCCCATGTACATCACTCTGTACTTCCTAGTCACTCGCCTCCCTGACTCCCTTCGAGTAGTCAGGGACCACTTTCTCTCAGTCTGTCCCACCACACTCACTGTAGACCTCCTCGAGAAGGCCCTCCTCGCGATAGAGAAGAGCATAGTCGCTGTAGGAGCCTCTCGAGGTGACCCGCGCACCCCCATCTTTGAGGGGTGTTCTCCCTCCCCCCTACTGCCCTCTGTTGCCTCTGCTGCTGCGGCCGACCTCCTTGGTCTTGAGTCGGTCGGTGCGGCGTCTGCCCCTAGCGGGAGACGCCGCTCTGGCAAGGGCAAGAGGGGCAAGGGAGCTGGAGGAGCGGGCGGTGGAGGTGGAGGATGGAGGCAGTGGGGGGAGTGGGGGTGGCGGTGGAGGTGGAGGTGGGGGTGGGGGGGTCGGTGGCGGCAGTGGAGGCGGAGGCGGCGGCGGCGGTGGTGGTGGGAGCGGAGGTGGCGGAGGAGGCGGCGGTGGAGGCGGCGGTGGAGGCTGCGGCGGCAGTGGAGGCAGCGGAGGCGGTGGAGGCGGTGGGGGTGGCGGTGGAGCTGGTCGCGGGTCTTTGCAGAGGAGTGGCTCAGGTGGTGGCTCGCGCCAGCAGCAGCAGCGTGGTCGTGCGATCCTGTCCCCTCAGTAGCTTCGTGAGTGGTACACTGCACGCCAGCGAGTGGGGGTTTTGGTCCGTGCACCTACGTCCTGCGCACCGGCGATCGTGCGGGTGAGCAGTGTGGGGGTGCGCACCCCACCCCGCGCTGCTTTGGCCGCCTGGCGGACGCGTGGCGGCACAAGTTCCCGGAGGCCTCAGAGATCCCTCGCTGGGACAAGCTGTCTAGGGCGGGGGTTGCCATCTTTGATCTTGACTTTGATGCTATTCTCTCTGCCATGTATGCTGTGTCTATTAGTGAGAGGGTGACTGTTACCGGTGTTTCCAGCCCGATCCGGGCATTGAGACTGCTGCTCTAGATACTGGTAAGGCTACTGCCCTAGGTGCTTACGACGCTGCTGCTCTAGGTGGTGGTGTGTCTGCGTCCTCAGGTACTGGTGAGTCTGCACTCTCAAGTACTACGTCGGCTTCGGCCTCCCTCACCTTCACTCTTAACTCTGGGGCGTCTCGCTCCTTCTTTCGGGACCGCACCACACTCACGCCGATTAGTCGGCCGGTTGCGGTGTCTCTGGCTGACCCCGCTGGGGGTCCGATCCTGTCTCGCTTCTCCACAGTCCTCCCGTGTCCGGCGGCTCCCTCTGGCACCTTGTCTGGTCTCTACCTCCCCTCGTTTTCGACGAACCTGGTGAGTGGTGCTGACCTACAGGATGCGGTTGTCCACCAGTTCACTCCTGCGCGTCGGCGAGTGACCCACTGTACAGAGGCTGGCACAGGCCGACACCTGGCTACGTTCACCCGTCAGCCGGGGTCGAGCCTGTACACTCTGACCACTGCGTCTCCTCCAGTTGCTGAGTCTGGTAGGGTAGCTGCGTCGTGTCAGGTGTTTGCTGCGGCGTCCAGGTCTGGTCCTGAGTCTGCCCCCTGTTCGTGTCGTCTCCTGTCTCACGAGACTCTCCTCAGGCACCACCGCCTTGGCCACCCCTCTCTGCTTCGGCTCACAGGTATGGCCTCCCGTCTTCTTGTGTCTGGTCTCCCCCGGTCCCTCCCTCCCCTTCCTCAGGGCCCTGGCCCTGCCTGTGTCCCCTGTGTCGAGGGGCGCCAGCGTGCTGCCCCTCACTCCTCCCAGTTTCCTCCGACAGAGGCCCCGTTGCAGACGCTTCACATGGACGTGTGGGGCCCGGCCCGCGTCCGTGGACAGGGTCACGAGCGCTACTTCCTGCTCGTTGTTGATGACTACTCGCGTTACACCACAGTCTTCCCTTTGCGCAGCAAGGGTGATGTCACTGAGGTGCTGATCGACTGGATCCGCGCAGCTCGTCTCCAGCTCAGGCAGAGCTTCGGCTCGGACTTTCTTGTTCTGCGTCTGCACTCGGACAGAGGCGGAGAGTTCTCCTCTGGCCTTCTACGTGCCTACTGTCGTGCACGGGGCATCAGTCAGACCTTCACGCTTTTGGACTCACCGTAGCAAAATGGGATTGCTGAGCGCCGCATTGGCATGGTCATGGACGTGCCAAAGCATGTATGGTACAAGACCATGCAATGGCAACCTGGTGCCCAGGAGGTGCAAGCTACGGTAGTCGCACACGATAGCACACACGCTCTTGCACCCACGGCCATAGGCAGGTTGTCCGCCCGTCATCGTGGAGGCGATTCAGCAGCGTGCTACTTTATGGTGTGGTGCTACTTGCAGAATGTCACTCTATGTACCATGCATGTTCACTGCAGTGGGTTTCTGTGATCACTACCTACAGACGGGTAATACATGTTCTTTCCCTCCGTTGCATTGCTGCATTCATATGTCCGACTCTTTAAGGAACAAATCCCACTGCGCTGCACCAATTTGAACATATCATAGCACATTGCATTGATTGAGCTAAACATATGCGAATAGAAATCGAGCTAAAACCGAGCTAACGTGTGCGAGCATCAGCAGCCTCATGCACACCAGCCCCCAAGCCTTGAAAGAGCAGAGAGAGCAAGCGTGAGCAAGCAGGAAACGACGCAGCAAGGTGACGTGCACCCATCCCCTTCCATCCACCGAATCCACCCAGCATCCCAAACACCCTGACAGGCAGGGTGCAAAAAGTGGTGCTCCACCATACCATCCCACTCTCCCTTGTATCCCCCCACCGCCACGCCAAGCCACCTGCATTCCCCCTGCTGCTCACCACACCCTTCCCTGCTTCCTCCTCCTGACCGCATCACGCTCACCACCACCCCTTCCTACTGCGCGTCCCGCTGCCCCCGAAGGCGCGGATCATGGCGGGGTGGTGGCACACGTGCGCCATGGTGAGCCTCTCCTCCGCGCGCACTCTCAGCATGCCGCTCACCAGCGCGCGGCACTCCTCCGACACGCCCTCCCACGCTGCCCCCTCCATGCGCGCGCGCCACTCGCCCTGCTGAGGCGCCTCCCCCGCGTACGGCCGCTCACCTGCGATCATCTCGAACAGCGTCACCCCCAGCGACCACACGTCCGCTGCCCGCCCATACCCGCCTGCCTCTGCCTCTCCCCCTGCTGCTCTCGCCGGGGCTCCTCTTCGCTGCTTCGCGGCGCCAGGGGCGGGCGGGCAGCGAGGGCGGCAGAGGGCCTCCACCTCAGGCGCCATGTACCTGGGCGTGCCTGCGGGAGTGCAGCACGCGCGCTGCCACTCCGCCAACCCAAAGTCCGCCAGCCGCACTGCCCCCGCGGCCAGCCGGGGGGAGGCGCGAGCCGAGGAGACGGGCGCGCAGAGGCGGGCAGCAGGAGAGGGGCGCGCAGCCGCAGCGGGGCTAGCGGCGGGTTGGCAAGGCGGGGGTTCCATGTTGGAGAGGGGCGAGGCGAAGAGGATGTTGTCGGGCTTGATGTCGCAGTGCACCACGCCTCGCTCGTGGCAGAACGCCACGGCGTCGCCCACGTGCTTCACCACTTCCAGCGCCTCCGCCTCCGCCATTCCCCCTCCCCGCCCGTCCTCGCCGCTCGCCTTCCCCCACCACCGCCTGCCCTTGCCATTCTCCGCGGGCGTGGTTGCGGCGGCAGCGGCGCGGCGCTGCAGGAGGGCGCGGAGGTCGCCGCCAGAGCAGACGTCGGAGAGCAGGTACGCGTGGTGGTCGGCCAGATGCACCTCGCGCACGCCCAGCACGCCCGGGCACTCGCTCAGCGACGCTGCCACCATCGCCTCGTTCGCCGCCGCCACCATCTGCTTGCGCGCCACGCGCTTCACCGCCACCACCTCGCCGCTTTCCACTCGCCGCATCGCCACCACCGTGCCAAACCCGCCGCGCCCCAACTCGCCGGCGGTCTCGAACAGGTCGGGGTCCAGCACGCCGTCGTACGCGTTCATCACTACCGGCCGCGGCACCGCGCGCGGAGCAATAGCTCTGCTAGCAGCGCCTCGGGCGGCGGGGGACGCGTTAACTGCAGCGACCGGCGACGGTTTCGCGACGGCAGCAGCATTGTCGCCGCCGGAGGCGGAGAGCGTCGAAGCGACGGACGAATGGGAGGCGTCGGACGAGGCGACGAGGGCAACGCGGAGCGGCGTGGCCTGGGTTGGCGCGGAGGACGTCTCGGACGGCGCGTACCACGACGCCGTGACGAGACCTGCCAGCACGACACGCGCGCGGGAAACGGTTGGCACCCGCGTGCTAACCCTAACTCGCTCTCGCGCCTACTTGGCATGACAGGGGGTCTCGTGAAGGCGGGAAAAGAGTAGTCGAAAGGCGGTCGAAGTCCTAGGGTCATGTTACTCGCGTGGGGCCGAAACTATAGCTCGGGTCGTCAAGTACTCGACTGTTACCTTCTAGCTTGCTCGGGTCGGAGCCATCGCATTGGCCTTCGCTGGTAAATTTTTCCAGCGAATCGCACGAGAAACCGGTGTGAACTGGTGGCTCGGCCATCCAGCTGTCCATGACGAGCGAGTGCTCGTCCGCGAATCCGCGATAGGCTAAGCTCGCACTGTTTTCAGAACGGGAGCTGTAAGCGTTTCGAATCAACACTACTCGAGAGCACGAGAGGAGGCTTTGAATGTCTCAGGATCAGTGTGTGAGGCAGGAGAGCAGCTTCAGAGAAAGTAGAGCTGTAGACTTGCTGAAATGAACTTGTAGTGCATGAGAAGAAGGACGCGGCACCTCTAGCACCGATCCTGCGATCGATCCTGCGCAGGATCGAATGTTTTAGGAGTTTGAAATGGTTTTAAAAGATTTAAACACTTTTAGCAGGGTTTCAGTACGGTTGAATCAGCGATCCTGCGATCAATCGTGCAAAATTGCTTGAGGTGCCGCGTCCAAAAATTGAGGTGCCTGAAATACGTACTGGAGGCAAGCAGGCTTCCTGGAGGCACAGAGGGTTCGGCGCGGCGCGACTCGCGCGAATGTCGCCCCACCTAGGCACGCTGGCCTCGCGAAAGTCGCGGCAGTGGCGAGAATTCTGTCCGTCACGGTTACGCCACCAAACCTTGAGAAACAATTCTCGCCATTACTTTCGTTTTTCTTGCGAAACTCAAGGCTCTTCGCAAACGCAGTCACCAGAGGCCGTTGCAAAGACGGCGTGCAGCTGCGCGGGAAAGCTGTAACCCTGTCAGTGGATGTGAGGAATTTGTTTCTCAACCGAGCTTCCACCCCAACGTGTACCAAACCAATATTTCGGAACGCAGGCTCGGACCGAATCCGAGGCAACCTCGCGTGGCCTTCGCGGTAAACAAATGCCCAGCCTGTTCCTAACCACCACTGCGCGAGGTTCCCGCTAAGTAAGAGGGTGTTACAGTTCTGCCTGTTTCTGTTCGTATAATGTTTATAATTTGAAAGGAATATCAAGTAACTAACCACTTCATTCTTCCTCCACCAATTTCATGATCACGATTTTCATCATGAGTAGCTCGCCGCCAAGGATTCTATCAGGAAATTTAAAGACTCCAATTTCCACGTCATCAAGTGCATTTCCCCCCGTCATTAGCCTCGCCTTACCACAGAGAACAGGAAAAAAATAGTATTACCGTCAGCCCCCAGATATACTGGCTGGCCCCTGTGGTTATAAAAAAACACCGCTTCTTTAGGGGGTGCGCTTATAACCGAGGATGTTTATAAGCGTCGACATTTATACGATGACATTTAGGGTCGAAACCGTGGTGGGCGAGCACCCTTCGGCGCCTGTGGCGCCTGTTGCGCCGGTGGCACCCCACACGCGACTGACGCGGAGCACGCGCCTGAGGCACACGCGCCCCACAGGCAGTCGCGTCAGCGCCAGAGGCGCCGTATGGCCGCCTCGTCTGACGCGACCGTTGACCCGGACTTGACCAAGGCGTTGACCCCAGACCAAGTCAAGGCGCTCATGTCCCTGTTACAGCATCGACCCGCCAGCGCAATTGAAGCCGAAACTACACAACCGACGGCATCAATTTCGGCTAAAAACGAAAATTCGAAAAAGGAGAAGGGAGCGAAAGGAGCATCAACACGCCGCCACAACAAGGAGGTAGCTACCAGCGTTCCCGAAGCCGCAGCCGACGACCACGACTCCGACGACTCTGACGACGATGCAGGTGTGGCTCCGATCAACGCAGCAAATGTCACATCCATGGAAAATCTCCCCCCCCCTTCCTTCCACCACCCCCACCTTTTCGGCGGCAAACTTCATGAAGGCGTTCGTGCGCGCGAAGGGGAAGCCCCTGGAGGACGTGAGGGCCTACCTGAAACACGCGGAGTACAAGCTGCAGCACGACGACACGGCAGGCGGACTCGAAATGGTCATGAACGCCCTCGACTACATTTCGGAGCGTTTTGTGATGTTTCAAGTCGAGGACCACACCGACGACCGCGTGGCAAAGCGATTCAAGCTCTATCAACAGAAGAGTCTCCTGACTTCCCGCCCGTTCAAGCAGGCGGTAGCTGATGTGTCAGAACATTATAGCTTACACATTTGTGTAGGCTGTAGTGGGGTAGCCCATAAGGGGTACAACCCAATTAGGCTTAGTATTTGTACCCAACTGTTTCATAGTGCATTCATTCCATTCTCACTTCTCGTCATGGTATCGAGCAGGTTCCCGAGTGGGAATACTGCACTGCCCTGCCTCCTACTGTTATGGCTTCCCCTAGCGTTCTCACCTTTGACGCTGAGGGTCGGGCAATGAACTTTGAGGTCTGGGTAGATGATCTGCAGCTTTTCCTGCAGTGCGATAGGGCAGACGGTCTCTCCCTGTTTGACCTCATTTTTGGTGCCTCCCCTGCCCCTGCTGCTGATGTTGACGCCACTGTTTGCTCACAGTGGGCCGCACGTGACGCTGCTGCTTGCCTTGCTGTGCGCCGCCACTTACCGACCACTGAGCGTGCACACTTTAGCCAGTACAAGAGTGCTCAGACCTTGTACGACGCTGTAGTTTCACGCTACTCTTCCCTCGCCACTGCTGCACTGAGCCGCCTCATGCTACAGTACCTCTTCCCTGACCTTACTGCGTTTCCCACTGTCGCTGACCTCATTACGCACCTCCGCACTAGTGACACTCGCTACCGCGCTGCGCTTCTTGCTGAGTTCTGCGCCAAGAACCCCCCCCCCCCATGTACATCACCCTCTACTACATAGTCACCCGTCTCCCTGACTCTCTCTGTTTACCCCACCACTCTCACCGTTGACCTCCTCGAGAAGGCCCTCCTAGCGATAGAGAAGAGCATAGTCGCTGTAGGAGCCTCTCGTGATGACCCTCGCACCCCCGTCTTTGAGGGGTGTTCTCCCTCCCCCCTCTTGCCCTCTGTTGCCTCTGCTGCTGCGGCCGACCTCGTTGGTTTCGAGTCGGTCGGCGCTGCGTCTACCCCGAGCGGGAGACGCCGCACCGGCAAGGGCAAGGGGGGCAAGGGCACTGGAGGAGGTGGAGGGGGCGGTGGAGGTGGTGGTGGAGGCGGTGGAGGGAGTGGGGGTGGTGGTGGGAGTGGTGCTGGGGGTGGCGGCGGCGGCAGCAGCAGTGGAGGCGGCGGAGGCGGTGGAGGTGGCGGAGGGAGCGGAGGCTGCGGAGGTAGTGGAGGAGGCGCAGGTGGAGGAGGCGGCGGAGGAGGCGGCGGCGGCGGAGGCGGCGGTGGTGGAGCGAGTCGCGACTCTGCGTCAAGGAGTGGCGCCGGTGGTGGTCTGCGCCAGCAGCAGCAGCGGAGTGGTGTGACCCTGTCCCCTCAGTTGCTTTGTGAGTGGTACACTGCACGCCAGCGCGGTGGGGGTTTTGGTCCCTGCTCTTACGTTCTCCGTAACGGCGACCGCACTGGTGAGCAGTGCGGGGGTCCGCACTCCACCCAGCGCTGCTTTGGTCGCCTGACGGACGCGTGGCGTCGCCAGTTCCCTGAGGCGTCAGATATCCCTCGTTGGGGAGATCTGGCTAAGGCCGGGGTTGCCATCTTTGATATTGACTTTGATGCTATTCTTGCTGCCATGTATGCTGTTGCTGATAGTGTTGAGGGTGCCTCTTACCTGTGTGTACCGCCTAACCCGGGCATTGAGGCTGCTGCGCTAGGTGCTGGTGAGACTGCTGCTCTAGGTGCTAGTGCGTCTGCTGCCCCAGGTGCCAGTGCGTCTGCCGCCCCAGGTGATGGTGAGTCTGCTCTCTCAAGTACCACGTCGGCTCAGGCCTTCCACACCTTCACCTTGGACTCAGGTGCGTCCCGCTCCTTCTTTTGAGACTGTACCACTGTTACGCCGCTCAGTCGGCCGGTTGTAGTTTCCCTAGCAGACCCCTCTGGGGGTCCTGTCATTGCTAGCTTCTCCACTGTCCTTCCGTGCCCTGCAGCCCCCTCTGGCACCCTGTGTGGTCTCTACCTCCCCTCGTTCTCTACGAACTTGGTGAGTGGAGCGGACCTACAGGATCGAGGGGTTGACCAGTTCACTCCTGCGAGTCAGCGAGTGACCCACTGCACGTGTGCTCGGACAGGCCGACACTTGGCCACGTTCACCCGTCGGCCAGGGTCGAGCCTGTACACCCTTACTAGCTGAGTCTCCTCCTACTGCTAAGTCTGCCTAGGTAGCTGCGTCGAGTCAGGTGTTTGTTGCGGCGTCCAGGTTTGGTGTTGAGTCTGCCCCCTGCTTGTGTCGTCTGCTGTCCCACCAGACTCTCCTTTGGCACCACCGCCTTGGTCACCCGTCCTTGCCTCATCTCCGAGGCATGGCCTCCCGTGTCCTTGTCTCTGGTCTTCCTCGGTCTCTCCCTTCCCTTCCTCCGGGGCCTGGCCCTACCTGCGTCCCCTGCGTCGAGGGCAACAGCGCGCCGCCCCTCACTTCTCCGAGTCTCCTCCGACAGAGGCTCCGCTGCAGACTCTACACATGGACGTGTGGGGCCCAGCCCGCGTAAGTGGGCAGGGGAGAGAGCGGTACTTTCTGCTGGTCGTTGACAACTACTCGCGTTACACCACAGTCTTCCCCTTGCGCAGCAAGGGTGACGTCACAGAGGTGTTGATCGACTGGATCCGCGCAGCTCGTCTCCAGCTCAGAGAGAGTTTCGGCTCGGACTTTCCTCTTTTGCGTCTACACTCGGACAGAGGAGGGGAGTTTTCCTCTGCCCGTCTGGGAGCCTTCTGTCAAGCACAGGGCATCCACCAGACCTTCACGCTTCCGGCCTCTCCACAGCAAAATGGGATTGCTGAGCGCCGCATTGGCATGGTCATGGACGTCGCACGTACGTCCATGATGCATGCGGCTGCCCCCCATTTTCTGTGGCCGTTTGCGATTCAGTACGCCGCGCATCAGCTCAACCTTCAGCCCCGGGTCTCCTTGCCAGAGACCTCCCCCGCCTTGCGGTGGACAGGGAAGGTTGGCGATGCGTCTGCGTTTCGGGTCTGGGGATCTCGAGCGTTTGTCCGCGACTTGTCTGCGGACAAGCTGTCCCCCCGTGCTGTTCCTTGCGTCTTCCTTGACTTCCCCCGTGACGCGCCTGGCTGGCAGTTTTACCACCCCACCACGCGCCGTGTTCTGTCCTCCCAGGACGTCACCTTTGACGAGTCGGTGCCTTACTACCGTCTCTTCCCCTACCGCACTGCGCCCCTCCCCCCGCCGCCGCTCTTCCTTGCGCCAGGTGCTACTCAGGTAGACCCCCTCCCTCCTCAGGGTCCTGCGCTGTCAGGTGTGTCCCAGGTAGATGCAGTCGAGCCTGTCAAGGTAGCTGTAGACTCTGGTGCTGCTAGAGGTGCTGAGCGTGCGGGTGCCGGGTCTGTGGGTGCTGGGTCTGGGGGTGCTGAGTCTGGGGGTGTTGAGACTAGAGGTATTGAGCCTGGGGGTGCTGAGCCTGGGGGTGCTGAGTCTAGGGGTGCGGAGCCTGGGGGTGCTGGTTCTGCTCGTGTGGCCACCGTCGGTACTTCGTCGAGGCGGGAGCCGCTCTCTCCACAGGAGCTGCGCATGTGGTTTGCCCGCCGCTGGAGACGTGCTTGCTGAGTTTGGGGGTGTTGGCACTGGTGTTTCTACTGGTGCTGGTGCGTCTGGGGGTGCTGCTGAGGCAGCTGGTGGTGACGGTCCTACTGGAGTTGGTGCTGCTGGAGCTGGAGCTGCTGGGGGTGTTGGCAGTGGTGTTTCTACTTGTGCTGGTGCGTCTGGGGGTGCTACTGAGGCAGCTGGTGCTGACGGTCCTACAGGAGTTGGTGCTGCTGGAGCTGGAGCTGTTGGGGGTGTTGGCACTGGTGTTTCTACTGGTGCTGGTGCGTTTGAGGGTGCTGTTGAGGCAGCTTGTGCTGACGGTCCTACCGGAGTTGGTGTTGCTAGAGCTGGAGCTGCTGGGGGTGTTGGCGCTGGTGGTGCTGCTGGCGTTGGTGCTTCTGAGCGTACTGGAGTTGGAGCTGTTGGAGCTGGAGGTTCTGCTGGCGCTGGTGCTGCCGCTGGGGGTACTTGTGCCGTATTTGCTGGTTCTAGAGGCGCTGCGCAGCCGAGGCCATACTTTGTTCCGCTCCTGGAGCAGGTTCTTGGTCTCCCGCCCTCTACTGGTCTTGCTCCTCCCGTAGAGTGTCCACAGCCTGTCCAGTCGCAGTCACAGTTATCGCCTGCCTCCCCTCTACCTGCTCCTTCTCCCTACACTGGTCCTACTGGAGGTCTTGCTAAGCGTCGTGAGCCTGCGTCTCGTCCCGCGTGACCTGTTCGTACTGCTCGCACTAGTGGTCGTACTAAACGTCCGCGTCCTCCTGCGGTCCCGGGCACACACCAGTTGGCACTGCGTCCTTCCATTGCTCGTCTGCGTGTCCCGTTGCCATCTCCTCTAGAGTCCTCTCTTCCTTCTCTTGCTGACCCGGAGTCTGACTCCCTTCGTGCTGCTAGTCCTTCGGTCACGCGCATACTTGCTACTGTCGTCACTGACCCTTCCTTTGAGTCTGCTGCTGCGTCTGCTCTCGTTGCTGAGCTTGTCGGCTTCGCTGCTCGCTGTCGTCTAGACTACGCTGCCAGTCTTGTTGCTGAGTCTGAGTCTGTCTGTCCTCCATCCGTCGGGGGTGAGTGTGCTCTTAGCACGGACGTCCTTGAGGACAGGCAGGAGGAGTTCCAGTGCTTTGCGGCTGCTTTGCCCCATCTCGTGTCCACGCTGATTGCCCCTGAGGGAGACCCGGATGCACCAGACATCCCGACTCCTCGATCGTACGCTTAGGCGATCGAGGGTCCCTAATCCTCTCAGTGGCAGTCGGCCATGGACGCAGAGATGGCTTCGTGGAAGTCCACAGGCACCTACGTCGACGAGGTTCCCCCACCTGGGGCGAACATCGTCAGTGGGATGTGGATCTTCAGGGTGAAGCGGCCGCCGGGCTCTCCGCCTGTCTTCAAGGCACGTTACGTGGCTCGAGGCTTCAGTCAGCGGCAGGGAGTTGACTACTTTCAGACCTTCTCTCCCACCCCAAAGATGACCACTCTTCGGGTGCTGCTGCACAAAGCCGCTCAGCGCGACTACGAGCTTCACTCTCTTGACTTCAGCACTGCTTTCCTGCAGGGCAGCCTGCACGAGGAGATCTGGCTGCGCTGCCCTCCTGGCTTCACTGGGTCGTTTCCTCCTGGCACCGAGTGGAGCCTCCGGCGGCCAGTCTACGGTCTCCGCCAGGCACCTCGTGAGTGGCGCGACACACTGAGGACTACATTTGCGGCTCTTGGGTTCACGCGGCATTCACATGCACTGCCATTCGCGAACTGACAGATACCGGAGCAGCGGTAGCTACCCCAGCAGCGGAACTAACATGCATCAGCCCACTCAACGTGGTTGAGCAACATAACAAATGCAGGCTTATTCTCGACCTCCGGAAAGTGAACGCGCAACTAATCATCCCCAAATTCAAATACGAAGGGCTAAGCCGCGTTGCCGACCTGGCACGCACAGGCGAATGGATGTTCTCCATCGACCTCAAATCCTGATACCATCACATCGGCATACACCACTCATGCTCGACATTCCTCGGCTTCGAATTTGAGGGGAGCACGTACTCTTTCCGCTCATTGCCCTTCGGCCTCGCGAAAGCATCATTTGTCTTCACACAACTCATCAAACAGCTAGCCAGGCGCTGGCGCGAACAAGGCATCCGAGTTGTACCCTATGTGGACGACATCCTGTTTTTATGCAAGTCCAAGGCACATGCACAAGCAACGTGCCAGATGATAATCTCGGACCTCAAGATGGCGGGCCTGGTGATCAACGCGAAAAATTCGCAGCTGTCACCGTCACAACACCTGCGATTCTTGGGCGTCGAGCTGGATACCAACTCCGGACAATTCTCCATTGGCACCGATCGACGAGCATCACTTCATGCACACATTCTCAATCTCCTGGGCGCAAGCAAAGCACGTCGACAGGTCCCAGTCCGCCACCTGGCTAGAATCACTGGCACGCTCGCTTCAATGGCTGTCGCGCTAGGTGCCACGACGCGCGCATTCAGCCACGCCATGTTACAAGCGATCAACGACGTGCCATCCTGGGGAAGCAGTGTAAGCATTTCCCCGTCCGTGGCCGAGGAGCTGCAATTCTGGCTTGAGGAGTTCGACAGATTCAACGGCGCACCATTCCACGTCCGGAACAGTTACGACGCCGTAATCCACGTGGACGCCAGTTCCCACAGTTGGGGTGCCACTCTACTCACCTTCCCTGGCAAAATCGAAGAAGCCAGTGCAGCCATGCCAGAACCATTGCACGCAACGTCCAGCACCTGACGGGAAATCGAAGGTGTCCTACGGGCCCTCCGAACGTACGCAAACAAGGTCCGACGGAAACACGTGCTCGTGAGGGTGGACAACCAAGGGGTCTTCTTCATCCTTTGCAAAGGCGGTTCCCGCACCCCCGACCTGACCAACGCTTGCAAGGACATCATTCGCACCTGCATGGAGCTCGGCACTCGTCTAATTGTTGAATGGATCCCGCGTGAGCTTAACTCCCATGCCGACGAGCTGTCGAAACTGATCGACCATGACGATTACTCACTGAAGCAACCATGGTTCCGAATCCTTGATCGCCGCTGGGGACCCCACTCCATCGATCTCTTCGCGAACCATCGCAACTCGCATCTGCCACGATTCTGCTCAAAGATCCCTCACCCAGAGGCTACTGCGGTTGATGCATTCTCATGCTCATGGACAGCCGAGAATGGCTTCGCGTTCCCATCACCCCAAATGATCCCAGCAGTCATCCACCACGCACAACGCACCCACGCATCACTCACCCTAATTGCCCCACACTGGACGAGGGCAAACTGGTGGCCACTCTTACAACCCTCCCCACCAAACTGGGCCCCGCACATCAGAGCGCACATTCCCTGACGCACGGCAGCCAATGTCTAGCAGTAGGAACGCACCGCACTGCATTCTCAGGCATAGGACTACCTCATAGCACAATCATTGCACTACGATTGGTCTTCAACTAACCCTCCCATACGCCTGTGCGCAGACGTGTTGCCGAAGCTACAAGTCCAGCTTCTAAAGATGCTCTCCCAGTCTCGGGCCGATTCAACAATCCGAACATATGAGCCATACTGGGTCAAGTTTCGAGCCTTTTGTGCAAAGGTGAACCTCCCATTCCTCCCCACGGCGGACATGACCCTCGCGCTGTACCTGGTGTACGCGATCCAACACAAAGCCACCTTGTCTATGGTACAACTCACATGCTCACCCGTAAGCTTTGCACACCGCATGACCGGGAGCATCTGCCCAACGATCGGACCATTCACCACTCAAGTACGCGATTTCACAAAAAGGCACTGCCCTCGCCCCATGCGAGTGAAGGAGCCTGTCTCGCTGCAACAAGTCCACGACATGTCTGCCAGCTACCTGCAATCCGACAACCGAGGAGAATTCCAAAAGGGGCTAATCCCCATCCTCATGTACACCAGATTTTTAAGATACTCGGACCTCATCGTCATCGAGTGGCAAGACATCCAGTTCGAGAACGAGGTCATGTGGATTTTCATTCCGTACTCCAAGACGGACCAAGCTGGAAGGGGCACATGGATACCCATCGCCGCAACTCATGACCCCTTTTGCCCCGTCCGCTGCACCCGACGACTCATCCAACTTGCGGGGTACAACCAGCAGTCCGCGGGGCCACTTATTCGAGTCTTTGGACGCGGTTCACCCCAAAGTGGCCAAGCAAGGCCACCATCATACCCGACGATCCGAAACTGGTGTTAAGAAGCGTTCGGGAGGATCGGATTAGGAGAACAGCAGCTGGGCACTCACTCCTTTCGCAAAGGAGCAGCCACTGCCGCGGCAAACACCAGTGTGCCAGACAGAATCTTCAAACGACTGGGCAGATGGCGCAACGTCACAGCGAAGGAGATGTACGTCACGCCCAACGCCAAACACCTCGTCATCGCCTCCCGTCAATTGCAAGATCTGGCATACGCCCCTTCTTCAGCGCAGCATGCCGAGGCACTCGTCCGCCATCAAAAGCCCCCGCTGCCCATGTCTCAGAGACCCCAGTTGCAATGAGAACGATGCCAAATGATCAGTATAAGAAAGCAAGCTTTCTAAATATGATAATTTTTAAATACACGAAGTGTTTTTCAAAATTACGTATTTCGAAAGCGCAGCTGCCTGTAACACAGATTTGGCATTGTTGAAGCGCGCTAAACGCCCTTCTCCAACTACAAAACGTGGGTTGGAGCTCATTTCCCTCCACCCACGTCTCTCATTTTCCAACGGCTCATGCAACTCTCCCACCCCCCACCCCGACACCGACGACATCTGCGACGCCGCTGGAACAGGAGGATAGACAGTTAGTCATATGATTGGTAGTACGCACGCATAATGCAGGATAGCTAGTACAATGCTATGGTAGGTGGAATCAGGTCATGTACTAGCATCTATATTGTCTAGCTCGAGGTGCATGTTGTAATTTGCCAGTTGCAATGAGAACGATGCCAAATGATCAATATAAGAAAGCAAGCTTTCTAAATCTGCCCATTTTTTTGCACCAACTGTTAAACCTTACGCAAGGATGGATTGAGTACAGATTCGTTTTGGGCCACCCTTAGTAATCAAGGTTCTAGGTATAGTCAACCTTGATGTGTAGGGTAAAAATTTTGTTTCCCTGACAAAAGCAGGGTAAAACAAAAGTCAATGACTTTGGCCAGGGGCGTGGACATCAGCACTTAGTGGCTCAGTTTGTTCGATTATGGATGAGATTCGAAAGGTCGCAGGTTCGAGTCTTGCTGTTAGGAGCATCTTGCAGGGGCCGGATAGTGTTTCGTCTCGCTTCGGAGCATTCCGTAACAGTATGACTGAGATCGTATAGTGTACAGTCAGGGAAATGAATTACTTGAGCTGTTTTTCAAAGGGTAAAAATAAACTTACACTTTCTGGCCTAGGGTAAAAAATCCATTACCCCGCCTGTGAAAGGGTAACTGAAAAAAGCGGCTGCCAGTCAGTGAAAAAAGGGTATTTTACCCTGATAACGAGAGCCCTGATTGAGTATCGAGAGAGTTGGTACAAGAGGAAAATCCTAAGGGGTTATACCCCACACTATCTACCCCACTACAGCGTAGCAATAACTCTAACATATAGATATATGTTTGACACACCCCCATAGGCAAAGTGGGGGAGAGCAGGAGATCAAAAGACCAGTCAAGAAAAGCAAAGCAAGCTCAGGGTGGATCACAACGTCACCACACAAACTGAGCACAAGCAAAGGGCCACAAGGCCAGTTCACATGCAGAGGTATATATGCAGTACAAACAACACAGTGATCTCAATCTAGCAAAGCAAGCATGCAGGTATATATATAGATAGATCACAGTACAAACAAAGCCTACAACAACTGAAGAAAAGTAGGAACAAGC